GCTGATTGTGTTATGAAAATAGGAACTGATCCAAATAAAATATGCTTGCGCGTTAGTTTGAAAAAATAGCAAAAAATATTGCAAGACGCGGGGATCGAACTCACGCCTTCTACGTTACATTCCTCCGTCTCAACCAACTGCATTATACTTCAACGCTGTTATAAAATAGAAACCAAACAATATATAATAAACAAGTGAACCGGAGAAGCGTCGGAGCCCTAGCTCCTGTCGTCTTCTCCAATGAGGTAATTCTTCAACCTGTAAAAATAACGCGTGTTAGAGATTAAGAAGGAACTATCCCCCTAATATGGCCCTTGTGAATCCAATGGTAGCATTCTTTTTGGCTAATTCAACCTGTACAGTAAGGTACAATCAAAATAAGGCAACACTGTGCAATAATGATGGTTGAGTGTTCTGTTATCATGGGCCTCATGCAAGGGATAAAACCTGCGCTAATTTGTCTCAGGAACACATTAAAACTGTTAGTTTAAATCAAAGCATCGTAAATATTGAAATATGAATTTCATAACATACGTAAAATCGATAATGTTTAGAATGCATGTTTTAAGGACATTTGATCATCGAGAATGATTGAAACTTACTTTATGATACCTCAGGGATCGTTTTGAATGGTTATCTTACTTTGAGGACACCTGCAAACAGGAATTCGAGTTCACCCTTTTCTTGCAAATTTTCAATCTCCAAACCCTTCTTTCTTGAGCAGTCTTGCGTGTTCTTCTTGGTCTGAATATGTAATGTACTTATAGGAGAAAAGATTAGGTTAAGAGATGGGCTTGGACATCATGTGAAACATATTTTTTATTTTGTTTGAAAATAGGTTATAATATTACAAAACCATGAAGATTTGATTCACAAATAGGTCTACACGGTTTGTATCATGACCTAGGGCCTTTAAAAGATTCAGATCACAAGCCGTTTATGCCTTATACATTTATTTAATATTTATTTGATTTAATTTTGAATTTAAATGAATAAAAATCAAAATAAATGAAATAAAAATTAAGGTGGTGCATGAATAGACTTAGAGGTATATTATAATGTCAGGAACACGTTTGGACTTTAAAAGATAGGCCCATTAGCCCAAAAAATCAAATATGCCCAATTTGGATTTCATGCATTTTTTCAAAATTTCCCAACTTGGATTAATCATATCTCACTCAATTTTTATCATATGAATGTGATCCAGGATATTTTGGAACCCTCAAGTTGTTCCCTACAATCTTCATGTTGGTCATTTTTCCATTTAAAGATTTTAACTTGATGTAAATTACTTTGACAAAAAGTGTCTCTTTGTTGACTTTTAAAATGACCTGTAATGTTTTAGCCCATATCTCTCAAATGAAGCATTTTTGTCGTTAAGCTTAGAGAGACAAAGTTGTAGAGAATTGATGTTACTTCCAAATAAGCTTTGGTTGAGAAATTTCTGATGAAGTATGTGAAAGTTATGCTTGGTCAAAGTCAAATTAACTTTTCCTAAAGAAAACCCTAATTTAGTAACTTTTGACTTTTGATGAATCTTAAGTTTTCTTGATGAATCATGATCAACCCTTGATCAAATGACAAATGTGACTTCAAAATGTTGATGCTGACCAAATATCTTGAAGTTTGACCGTAAATTGGTCAATTTTAACTTTTTGTCCAATATAGTTGGTTTTTAATCATCTGGTTAATGGACTAGGAAAACTTGTGCTGCAAGGATTGAAATTTGGCATGAGGGTACCTTGATACATATGAGAAACTATGAAATTCACTTAAGGCATTAGAAGTCCAATTTACTTTGAGAAAAGTAAAACCCTAGTTGTAGGTCACTGCTTAGGAGGGGGTTTGTCTGGTCAACCCTTGAGTAGTCTTGAGTGTTTAAGACCTTCATGTGCATGAGGAGATGTCATGAATTAATTTGTATTGAAAAATGAGAGGAAAAATTTTGGGGTACAACAAGTACGATAAGCTTAAGTGGAATATGGAATGTGGTAAGGTACCACATGTTTAAGTGATATACAGTACACTTAAGGTATGATGCCCGTAAGCTTAATTGGGATTTTAGCTTGTAGCTTTAATTTGGATTTTAGCTTAAAACCTTAATTGTACTGAAGTATTTTCACTTGATGAAAATTCGGTCCTGAAATCCTTGCCGTGTTTTTTCTCACTCTCACACTCAAAGTTTTCGTTCGTAAGCAGCTAGCATTGTGTCCAGAAGCGATATGTTCATGTGGACTGAGTAGAGGCGTTGTTCTTCATTAACGCTTATGATCATGACATCAAAAGTCTGAATCTCCACAAGAGGTAATAGTTTCTATCACTGACCATGCCCATTCATAAGGATCACTAAAGAAAAATTTTAATTTCCACTGCATTTTAGATCGCAATATTCCTTAAACATGTGCATAGTAGAAACCAAAGTTAAACTATTTGTCAAATTTTCATGATAAGAAAGAATGCAACATGTATGATATATCAACATGGAACATTATGCATCAAGGCAGAAAGGATATAAGTAAAACCACTAACTATAATGAAACCAAAAAATCAAAGCATAAAAAAAATGTTCCCAACCTATAATGGACGGTGACCTAGTCCCTAAATTCCAACATTAAGATTCCTCACACAAACACCATTGTACTTTCTCTTTATCTTTACATTATCCACATTAGAAAAAAAATCACACAATATAAAACTTTATAATCATAAATAAAATCATCTAAATAATCCAAACATATCATTTATTCTTTTGCCACTCACAGGCCTCATATGTATTCAAATTTCATCCTTATGGACCGCCTTATCACATAGAAAATTACAATGCATAATAAAATTCATCTACAAAAAAATTACAAGAATCCGACATATACAAAGAGAACTGGAAAGGATATCAACAACCACTCGAAAGTCTGAGCAGAGTCAGTGTCTTCTTTATTGGAGGAGGATGTTTCTGAAACAATGAGAGAACTGGAAAGGATGTCAACAACCACTATAATTATCAAAACCCTTGAATATCTACCATTGTCTTACAACACAATATGGGTTTCATAAATAACCCTAATAAGAAAATACGGTCGAAAACACTCCTTTTAGGACATAAATTTTGCAAATCTAAGCTAACAGTAAAAATTAAAATATTAGGGGTTCATAAATAGGAAAATAGGTAAATGTAAACAAAATTGAAATCTTATAAGAAACTTATTATTACCTAATAGAGAAATAACAAACTTCAGATCCTTGATTGATCATCTAGATCCTCATAAAATCACAACCACCAAACACTCTGGAGAAAGACCACCTCCCTTGGAATAATCCGACCATCAAATTCTCATCATCACTCGAAAATCAGCTTCTTAAACCGTGGTCACCTTTAAACCTCCTGAAAGGAAGAAGGTGAGGAAATGGGAAGAAGAAGAGAAATAAGGAAGTTGTTGTAGTGTGAGAAAAATAGAGAAAGGGAGAGAGAGAGAGAGAGAGAGAGAGAGAGAGAGAGAGAGAGAGAGAGAGAGAGAGAGAGAGAGAGAGAGAGAGAGAGACGTGAGATAAAGAGAAAGGACATGAGAGAGAGAGAAGAAGAGGAAGAGAGAGATTGAGGTGATATACATAAGAGAGAGAACAACGGAAAAGAAATAGAAAAAGGACGAGAGAGAGAGAGAGAGAGAGAGAGAGAGAGAGAGTGTGAAGATTTAGAAAATTTTGAAATAAAGTAGACACTGAATTTGGACCAAGTGACATCATAACTCATTCCAACCTAATGATGTAAGGCAAAAATCAACAACCATGTAATTGAAATAGAAAAAGATGACATCATTAGTTGAAAAAAGTATTTTTTGGACACAAAATACCATTATTTAGGTTAGGTGGAAGACGTTGAGGTTGGGGAAGAAAAATAAATTTCCCAATCTCTAATGTTCTTATATGGTAGATTTCTTAAAGATTCTTTAAGTTATAACACATGCTCGCCCTTTCTTGAATGAGATATCTTCAAATCTTGAAATTATATTCTTCAAACACGCGTTTAAAGTTGAATCATACTTGAGCACCTTACAAAAATTTAGGACATTGTTTATTTCATATGAGTAGGTCTCATTGATCCAATTTGTAATTTGATGATCTCAAAAATAAAAATTCTAATTTGTTGGAAGGAGAAAGCATCAACTTAAAGAAGGATCTAGTTTATTTTTATTAAAAATGAGTTAAAGTTAGTTGGTTTAGTAGTGATTGACGCTAGATTTAGTAGAGAGAACTATAATTCGATCCTCCGCAATTGCAATCGGAAGAGAGTTGGAACCACTTTGTACACTAAAATAATGCAATTTAGTATAATTACGTGACTTACGAATTTACACCACTCATTTTTATTTGACTTACTAAGTATATAACTAAATTTTAGATTTTGATGTTAAAAAAGTTACACTATTGGTGTTGAGAATGTTGGAATAGAATTGAGTGCTTTTTGTATTAGTAATTTTAGTATCTTGGTGCATATTGAAAGATTAAAAGAGATATAGATGAATTATTAAAAATAGTATTTAAATGAGAGAGAAGTAAAAGTTTAAACTTAAAATAGATTCAGAGACAAAATCAGAAAGGTCTAGTTTAATAGGATTATCGTCAATCATTTCAGAATGTTTGTGTTTTCTTTCAATATTTATTTAAAAAATCTAAAAGAGAAGGTGTAAGAGTGAAAATAACTGTATAAATTGAAAATTATCTACAAATCATAAAAAATTAATCTTAATTCTTTAACACCATTTGTTTACCCTTTAACACCACTTAACCAATCTTGCTAAATAAAAGAGGTATGGTAAGAACTACATATACAAAAATGGTTTCATAATAAAACACTCATAAACATAATAGATATAAAATAGTATTATAAAATAATAACAAATGTTACACAATATCAAATACCTTGTTCTGGATATCAATGAAAGATAATTTTAACAACCATATCCTTATTTTTTGAAATAATTATGGCATATTATTTAGTATATTTTTTAAAGATCAAAAATAAATAGTTTAGCTATAGGAGATGCTTTTTGAGAGTTTGATAATTGTTGTTTCACCTCTTGTCCCCTAATTTTTTGGTGAGTGTAGAGAAACATCTTCTCCAATACTTTTGCATTTTCCAAAAGAAATCGAAGCATATGCATCTCTAAATTTCTTCCAAAATCTGAATAAACACATACTTCTTTAAGACAGTACTCTAGACAGTAAAATGTTGATGTCTGTGTTTGCCAATACTGGTCGTCCTCAAAATCAAAGAAAATATGATTTTGTTCTTCCAAATCATCCTGTATAATATTTTAGCTATAAAATATTTGCCTACAATTTCTAATTATGAATTCACATATAATAAGGTTAAGTAAGGCTCACCCATAAAATTTGTCTTGCTTCATGGAAGTGTAATGTTAAACATTCCATATATGAGCATTTTCTCATTAAGTAAGAGATCCCAATAAGTTCTTCTTTTTCTAAGCCAGATTGCAGTTTCAGATGCTTGAGATTTTTAAATGAAAATGGAAGAGACTGTATGAAATTTACTTCATATGATAAAACCTTAAAGAATGAAATAGAAATTCTCATTACATGTGATTTTAATTAATATAAAAGAAATAAATGGCTATGGAATAAATAATACCTGAATGCACCAAGTGTTGAGTAACAGTGTTTGACATTGACTGAAATGACCCAACAACTTTATTAGAGTTTCTCGATGACCACTATTTGTATATAGCTTGTTTATTCTAATCCCCATTTCTATTAAATTTGGTGCTTTAATGTTTGTTTCTGTGTTGAGGTGGCAATTCTCCAAATTAAACATCAATAATTTTGGCGATGATATATCAATTGGAAATAAGGGACCTCTTTTTGAGAAGCACCTAATAACTGTGATACTTCTGAAGTTGATGTCTTTCTTACAAACCATGAAGTTCAAAGGAATCAAGCAACAAGCAATTGTCAAATCTTTTAACATGGTACATTTGGTTGCAAGATCTTCAATAGAAAAATCAAGGATCTTGACAAACTTTAGAAATAAACATTGAAGATAACAGAATGCTTGTAAATTGGACTTTAAGAAGTTACATAAATTTAACTTTAAAGATACTAATGACTTTGATGTAGGTTGAATGTATGGAAATTCATAAGGCTTACTCGTGACATCGTATCCAATCAGTATTCCATTCGAAAAGTTAATTTCAAGTTCTGTAACTTCATTCGTCATGACGAATTGAATCCATTGATCAACCATCTGTCGACTACTGTGATACCCGTTATAACACAAATTGAGGAATAATTTCTTCACCTTACACCTTGAGTATAGGTATAGAGCTCTACTTACAAACTGTTTGAATTTTTTATTTCCTGAAATGATTGAATTTGAAATTGATACTCTAGTCATAAGAGAAATATTAACCAATTCATGTGGAAGGATAGTTCTGTGTGAATTAATAATTCCAGTTGACATCTTTAACTCATCCAGATTTAGGTTTGATGGCACCACTGACAAATAGATTTTTACTAGATGTGCCCACTCCTTTGAAACTAAGCTTGCTAAAATTAATTCCTCCAAAGTAAGAAAAGAAAATACACAGAGCATTAATTCCAATGGTAGGAAACTTATAAAATCTTTCATTTCAGTTGCATGTTGTCTTTTGTTTCGTTGACTGACAATCCTCCTTTTTGCATTTCCTACTTGATAGTTATTGTTGCTTTCCATTTTACACTAAAAATAAACATTAATATTGACTATCAGTAATATTAATGTGTTAGTTATGTATTTGAATAGTGAAAATATGAAACCAACACAAAAATCATGACTAAGAAAACATAATTACAACTATAAATATGAAGCAATTTTCGAAAACTTATTGGCTTTAACCTATATGAATAATGATATTGACAATTGCTAATCTTTAAAAAAAATAAAATGAGACATAATTAAAATTAAAATCATTACCAGGAAAGGGTAGGTAAGTAGTAATAGAATTTACATATTATTTCTTGAATCTATTATATGTTTTCTTAAGGTACACAAATTAAAATTAAAATCATTACCACTGTAGGGTAAGTAAGTAGTAATATATTTTTCAAATTATTTCTGGAGCGCGTAAGAGCTTGTCTTTTACACATGTTCAAATAAATATTGCATGATATTGACTTTATTGTTCTTCATTGAATCAAAAGGGTTATTAGGGTTTCAAGCACTTTTCCCTAAAGCTTACATATATAAAAAATTAATAATATTAGTTTCAAACAATCTCTATATAAAAAAAACTATTAATGCAACTAGAACGAATTTGTACTTATATATTTTGAATTGCAGGAAATTCATGAAACTCGTATGCTAATTATTCTATAAAATAGAAATGGAATTTGTAAAACCATTGATTAGATCGTTCAATGGTGAAGATTTGTATCAACAAAATCACTATTCTTAAATTCATACCATTTGATTTATCATTCTAGACCATTTTCAAATCATTAATGGAGATATAATCACAAATATATAAAATCATTTTATGATACGAATCGTAAAATCAATTTATAAATGGGGAATTAGAACTTACCTGTTTGATCCTGCTTTCTTCTAATTTCTTTCGCATAGGTAGTCTGAAAAATCTGAATAACCTAATTTATATTAGGTTATAAAGAGACGACATGGCGTTACTTTGATATTAAAGTGGGCCTTCGTTTTGTTTTCTATTTAAGCCCAATGGACTTAATTGTCAATAAAGCACCTGGGCCTTTTTATTTTTGTGGTAGAATGTAACTTTATCTTGGAGGATTGGATAAGTAAAATACACCAGACTTTGTATGTAATTTTGACTTAAAGAATGTACCTTTTCAAATGTAAATCAATAACAAATTAAGTTGAAATGTTTGTTCTCATAAACAATTTTATATCTAACATTATGTCTTGATTTGATTGTGTGTAATTTTGACTTATAAAATGTAAATTTTCAAATGTAAGTCAAACACACATTAAGATGAGTGAAATGATTTTTCTTATTAATGTTTGTTTATCTAACATAACTCCTTCACTAGTTACATTACTTATTTTAGCATGACACGACTTTACTATCAAAAACAATTATACTTAATTATTTTAGTGATAGCATTTACGGGTTGACCATATGGCCAAGGCATTAAATCCTAATCACAAGGAGGCTTAGTCCAAGGACGTGCGTGCCAAGGATTTACGAATCTGAACACTCACCATTGTCAGATATATTAGCTTGTTATTTTGTAGATATATGTGTTTGTAGGTATAACGATTGTAGTAATGAGTTAATCTATATGGTTTTGATGATAACAACACTATGAATTGAAGTCTTCATCTGAAGTAATGATCAAGTTATTGTGCTTGGAATAATAAGATATCAAAGCCTATCTCTATAGGACAATACCTAATTTCAAGAAACGTTCAATGAAATTCCTGGTGATCTAAGTCAAGCAATATCTTTATTAATGGTGTCTATCAAGGATCCTTATCAAGCCTCATCATATTGAAGAGAAGTCAAGTACCATATGAATTATTGAATCTTTGATGTATCGATTAAGGGATCTTGAATCTTCATATTTGTGAAAGAGAGAAAGTGTGAAAGTTTGTCTGATATGTGTCTGAGTGATCAGAGTCTTGTAAATGATATTGGAATAGTTCATATACTACTAAGGCAATATACATACTCACCCAAAAGTATTTTAATCTCTCTATTTTATAAAAATCCTTAAAACCCATAAAGGAACCACCAATGTTCTTTTGGAATTGATAAAGGGTGTTACAAAACATTTAGGTGGCTTATATATACACTTCCTAATTGATTAAGTCCATTTTCCAATCGATTAAATCAATTTTTAAAACTTCCTAATCGGTTATGAACGTCCTAATTAGGACACTAGCCGGTGTAGGGTTTTCTATTTGGGAATTAGGGTTGTCATTTTGTGAAGCACATAATCGATTAGGTGATATATATATATATATATATATATATATATATATATATATATATATATATATATATATATATATATATATATATATATATATATATATATATATATATATATATATATATATATATATATATATATATATATATATATATATATATATATATATATATATATATATATATATATATATATATATATATATATATATAAAGATTAGGAGCATTAAAATCCCGTGGATAGTTTTTCTTTTTGATCCAGATTTCTCTCATGTAAATATAGGTCTCCCATCACTTTCAACTCACATTATAAAACGTGTTTAACACTCTTTCTCACTTTATACTCCTTTTCTTCTCATTTCAATCTTTTCACTAAAATTTCCTTAGAACTTTAGGAGTGTAAAAATATTAGTGAGGTTTTTGTTGTGTATTATAGTACAGGGGTAATATTGTAACTTGTATAAAAGGTTTTGTTTTCTCATGTACAATATCTTTTATGAAGTCATTGTTTGGTTTGTGAGCTTAGCCAATAAAAATTCTCGTTTGGGTTATGAGATTTTCCATTAAAATCTATGTTTAGCTTGCAAGCTTAGCCTGATGTGATGCGGTGGGAGAACTGACTTGAGGTTTTGCGTTTGTATTCGCAAATGTTTCGGTTTAGCAAGAGTCGCCACCGACTTTTATTTTATCCAAAAGGAAAGGTAAAAAAGCACAGGAAAGACCTTTGAGATTGTTTTTGGGTTCGGGGGGTAGATTATGAAAAGGGAAGGTGCTAGCACCCTTTTCATCCATGGTTTTCCATGGGCTCTTAGTTACTTTTTTTAGATCACTTGCTTTTGCTTTTCAATTGTTTGAAATGGTGCTTTTGTGTGTGGTTTTGAAAGTATTTTGAAAAGAGGCCTTTGTCTAGGCAACATTTGTAATGATTCTTGTTTGAATGTATACAAATGTGTTTGTCTTTTGAAAAATGTTTCAATGTTTGAAAGTTTGTTTTGGGAAAATGTTTTGAAATTGTGTTGTGTGTTTTTGAAAATAGCAAGGATATTTGCAAGTTTGATCAAATAAATAGGAGCATCTACCTACCTACTCAAAAGTATTTCCTACACCTTTTTAACCCTTTGACATTGGTTTTGCCATTACATTTGGTAAACAACCTTGTGTTTGGATGTTAAACGGGACAGGCGCGGGTCATCGTATGACCAAGATAGCAATGTTGCTAAGTATTTCCCATTTTCAAACTTTCGATTCTCCCTAACCATGAATGATCTTGGAGAGTTCTTGGACATTTTGGAAAGCTTGTAACATACTCTAAAATCATATTTAAAATGAATTTTTATATTCCACTTGGAACTATGTGAAAAATTTCCATGAAGATAGGTCAAAATCCTGCCTAAACTAGGGCAAAATTTCACTAAGTTAAAAGTTTCATGGACCCTTGTTCACAAAATCATAACTTGAGATCTAAGCATATTTTGTGGAAACTTTGTGCATCAAAGTTGTAGATTTTGTGGAGGACTACAACTTTCATGTTGTAAGTTTTCTTTGAATCCAATTGCATCATGGTGAAAAAGTTGGGAAAAGTCGGGAAAAAATAAGAAATTTTCATAACTTAGAAAATTTCTAAGTTATGAAAATTTTCCATTTTAAACCCTAATTTTCAAAATTAGGTTTCTTGATGAACAAGTTTCATGTTCTGACACATCTTGATGAAAAATGACCCTTGGCACTTGATTTTGACCAAAAAGTCAAAGTTTAACTTTTCAGTGTACAATTGATTTTTGATCAGTTGATTGGAAAATTCATTTGTCAATCCAATGTATTTGAGATCTTTTGAACCTTGTGATTAGGTCAAGATGATGCCATTCAGTCCTTGAAACCATGCTTAAACTCAATTTGCCATTGGCTAGGTGAAAAATCATAAATTGCCCTTCTGCAGTCAAAACCCTAAAAATGACCATTTTGCCCTTTTGAAGATCTGATCAAATTTCTTGAGGAGTTGTGGTCCAAACATGATCAAATGGTTCATATGAGTTTATAATGTTTATGTGGATCAAAAATTATGAGGTTTGACTGTAAATTGGCCACAGTTAACTTTTTCCCCAATACAGTTGATTTCTAGGTCAACTGTCCAATTGACTGAGCAAAAATTTGATTCAAGGCTTGAAACTTGGTATGAGTAATCTTATAGGTACAACATGAAGTATGAAAGTCACATGAGGCATTGAAAGTTCAAAAATCCTTGTGCAAACTCAAACCCTAATTTCAGGTCAATAGTGCAAGAAGATGTCTTGAGTAGAGCAAACTCTAATCCTGTCTGGAGTCCAAAGAGTCTTGTGAGGGGAAATATTGATAAAATAAGAGGGAAATTTTTGGGGTACAACAGCTGCCCCTGTTCAATCTTCTTGAACCTGAAGAGTTAGATTGGCGAGTTTGTCGTTCGTGACTCGAAGGTAAAAGATGATTGGACACTAGAGTGCCTGTAAATTTGCACTCGTCAAAATGTAGTTGAGGAAATGGGCTTAAAGATTCCATTTGGAGAGGTGAAAGAATCTTGTCAGAGATGGGCTTAAAGATGCCATCCAAGAATGTTTGTTGAAAATCAAGATAATGAACATCAGAGTGGTATCCGTATCTGGAACGTATCTGAGTTGTATCTGGAGATTGGATCTGTATGAGCAATGGAATGGCATCCGTGTCGGGAGCATATCCGAGCTGTAACTATAATTGAATCTGAATGAATAGCAGAAAGACTTCCGTGTCTGGAGTGTATCTGTATTGTATTTGGATCTGAAACTTGAATAAGCGACAGAAAGGTATCCGTGTCTGGAGCGTCTCTGGGCTGGGGAAAAGGTCAAAATAAGTGATAGAATGGATTCCGTGTATGGAGCGTATCTGGACTGTATCTTGAGGTTGAGATCTGTATGAGTAGCGGAATGACTTCTGTGTTTGGAGTTTATCTGAACTATAACTGGGATCTGAATAAGTGACAGAATGACTTCTGTGTCTAGAGTGCATCTGAACTTGAATTGATAGTTGAATCTGAATGAGAAATAGAATGGCTTCCGTGTCTGGAGCGTATCTAATCTGTATCTGATTGTTGAAGTCTGAATGAGTGACAGAATGGCAACCGTGTCTAGAGCATATCCGTAGTGTATCTTGACTTTGTATTCTGAATGAGTAGTAGAATGACCTCTGTGTCTGGGTGTATCCATACTGTATCTGAAATCTTTGAATATTTGTTAAAGATAGCTTTTAATCTTATCCTGAAAGGGGTAAAATGTTAGCTGAAACACAGAGTTATGTTGCATGAAATGTATGATGCAATAAAACATGTTTTATCAATGTTTATGATATATGAATGTAATGTATGCGCATGTAAGATGATTAGATGTCTTGCTGAGGAAAATAAATCCTTGATAGCTGGAGATAATGAAATCTTGACTGCTACCGGGGAAAATAAATCCTTGACCGCTGCTGGAGATTTAACATCTTTGATTGCTGAGGATGAGAAATCCTTGCTGACTGCTGTTGGGGATAGAAAATCCTTGGCGACTCGCGGGGATTATCAAAATTTTTGTCAACTTCTGTGGGGATGTGAGAATCCTTCACGACTTTCCTGGGGATATAGGGATCCTTCAAGTCTGCTTGGGAAA